CAGTTCGAGGAGTAACGGTTCAAAGAGTAACGGTTCGAGGAGTAACGGTTTCGAAGAATAACGGTTCGAGGAGTAACGGTTCGAAGAGTAACGGTTCGAGGAGTAACGGTTCGAAGAGTAACGGTTCGAGGAGTAACAGTTCGAAGAGTAAACGGTTTCAAAGAGTAACGGTTCGAAGAGTAACGGTTCGAGGAGTAACGGTTCGAGGAGTAACGTTCGAAGAGTAACGGTTCAGGAGTAACGGTTCGAAGAATAACGGTTCGAGGAGTAACGGTTCGAAGAGTAACGTTCGAGGAGTAAAACAGTTCGAGGAAGTAAACGGTTCGAAGAGTAACGGTTCGAGGAGTAACGGTTCGAAGAATAACGGTTCGAGGAGTAACGGTTCGAAGAGTAACGGTTCGAGGGTAACGGTTCGAGGAGTAACGGGTTCGAAGAGTAACGGTTTCGAGGAGTAACGGTTCGAGGAGTAGCGGTTAGAGGAGTACGGTTCGAGGAGTAACGGTTCGAGGAGTAACGGGTCGAGGAGTAACGGTTCGAGGAGTAACGGTTCGAAAAGTAACGGTTCGAGGAGTAACGGTTCGAGAGTAACGGTTCGAAGAGTAACGTTCGAGGAGTAACGTTCGAAGAGGCAACGGTTCGAGGAGTAACGGTTCGAGGAGTAACAGTTCAAGGAGTAACGGTTCGAAGAGTAACGGTTCGAGGAGTAACGGTTCGAGGAGTAACGGTTCGAAGAGTAACGGTTCGAGGAGAAGGTTCGAAGAATAACGGTTCGAGGAGTAACGGTTCGAAGAGTAACGGTTCGAGGAGTAACAGTTCGAGGAGTAACGGTTCGAAGAGTAACGGTTCGAGGAGTAACGGTTCGAAGAATAACGGTTCGAGAGTAACGGTTCGAAGAGTAACGGTTCGAGGAGTAACGGTCGAGGAGTAGCGGTTCGAAGAGTAACGCTTCGAGGAGTAGTGGTTCGAGAGAGTAACGGTTCGAAGAGTAACGGTTCGAGGAGTAACGGTTCGAGGAGTAACCGTTTCGAAGAGTAACGGTTTGAGGAGTAACGGTTCGAGGAGTAACGGTTCGAGGAGTAACGGTTCGAGGAGTAACGGTTCGAGGAGTAGCGGTTCGAAGAGTAACGCTTCGAGAGTAGTGGTTCGAGGAGTAACGGTTCGAAGAGTAACGGTTCGAGGAGTAACGGTTCGAGGAGTAACGGTTCGAGAGTAGCGTTCGAAGAGTAACGCTTCGAGGAGTAGTGGTTCGAGGAGTAACGGTTCGAAGAGTAACGGTTCGAGGAGTAACGGTTCGAAGAGTAACGGTTCGAGGAGTAACGGTTCGAGGAGTAACGGTTCGAAGAGTAACGGTTTGAGGAGTAACGGTTCGAGGAGTAACGGTTTGAGGAGTAGCGGTTCGAGGAGTAACGGTTTGAGGAGTAACGGTTTGAGGAGTAACGGTTCGAGGAGTAACGGTTTGAGGAGTAGCGGTTCGAGGAGTAACGGTTTGAGGAGTAACGGTTTGACACACTGGCCTGCAATAAAGCTTGTAAGTCCCACCCCTTCCGCTAACCCCGCTGGACCTCTAGGTTGAAAAATCGTCAATGCAAGTGAATGAGAGAAAATAATTATTTTCTAATCCCGTTTGAATTTTGCAATGAATGTAACATTATGTTGTCTGTGAATTTTTTATATAATGTTTCGTGTAAAGAATGCTACAATTTTCATACGGTTAGACTTTGTGTGAGAGCACTTTGTGGACTACAACTCTTTCAACGTGTTTGATATACATCACCCCCACTAGCACACGGATCCCGCTAAACATGCCTTCTTTCAGGGCGAGGACAAACTAGTTGAGCGTGGTGAAAACCGTGATTTGTGGAGGGAAAATGTGTTATGCGGCGACGTCACATATGCGACGTGTAGTCTTTCTCGTTATGTCTATTCCACAACTGCTAGCCAAAGAATCATACAATATACTCGTCAAACTCGTTACATGAGAAATTACATAAAAAATTCACAGACAACATATGTCACATTCATGGCACAATTCAAACGGGATCAGAAAATAATTATTTTCTCTCATTCACTTGCATTGACGCTTTTTCAACCTAGAGGTCCACTTGGAGTTTTACGGATGGGCGGGACTTACCAGCTCTATAGCTGACAGAGTTTACATGCACACGAATAATCCGTGCATTATCAGATTTATGGCCTCGAATCCTGTAAACACCTTGATAACCCTGACTGAGCTTGAGCCACGTTACATTTTGATTGGATTGAAAGCAGTGATGTAATCCAATAATGATTAAAAAAAAAAAGCTTGAATCAGACAATTTTCTAAACTGGATTTAAAAACATATTTTCAAAATGTCTATCAAACTGGTCAATGGATGAGACTGAATATATTTGCAATGAACTAAAATAAAATAAAAAGCTCTTCCGACATAAATGTCATCAATGCAAAAATGACAATCATGACTGAACTCAAGCTGAACTTTAGTTTCCAATGCATGAATGCACATGTAAATGAAAACATGGATCTGATTATAAAGTATAAAGTTTAGGGTTCATATGACAGAACTTTCAGAATCTGAAATCAGATTGGATGGATTCTGTGTGCATGTAAACACACCTAGTGTCAGAATCGCCCGTTCTGCTCGAGAAAAGAGACTTGGACCAATGCATGAAATAATCGTTGACTTTCATCAAGAGTTGTTTGGCCTCAAACTAAGCCTGAGTTGAACACATGAAATGCAATTTAAAAATCAAGTTAACGTCCAGCTGTGCCAGAACCCAGTGATGCTGTGGCCCAAACGGTACCTCGCCTGTCCTGCCGCTCATCTTCAGTGTCGTCATACGAAGTCTCCATGGCAGGAACCCACAGAACAATCCTTCAAACTTTACCAGTTCTGTTCCTCTTCTTTTCTCAAATCTCTTCTTCTTCACATCGGTGTCTTACCCAGAACTCAACTAAAGATGTTTCACGTCTACACCAAATCACGGACTCACTCCCAGACCAGCACAATACCAGTGAAGGAGGAGGAGATCTGACAACACACACTCGCTGCATATATTAACATATTTATGAAACCACTGGCCAGAAACGGGCCCTCCATCTGCCGCCCGACCCATGAGAACCGGAGGAAGGGGGAGGCTTTCCCTGGACAATGAAAGACGTGAAGAGGAACGGAGAGCAAGAGCAGATGGAGGAAGAGAGAGCTAGATATAAGACTTGGATTTTCATCAAAAGTCGTCTGATCAAACAGATAAAGCAGATTTTGGACTGACACTCAACGGGAGTTTAGGAATCGAGTGTTGGTCAGGTTCATCTCTCTTTTTTACAAGTTCAACAGCAAAGCAAGAACATTAGGCGTGCAGTTCATGTTTGGTTGTGCAAGACTGGCACTAGGGATTAGGGCTGGCACTTTACTGTACGTGCGAAAATCGATCGCACAAACGATTTTTCGAAATTTTTCTATTTTCGAAAATGAAAATGGGGAATCTATTTTAACAGCCTTTTTTTTTTTTTTACAAAAATGCGTTTTATTGTGGACAGATCAGTACAGCACACAGAACATGTCGGATGTTGGAAAATAACGTCTTTTCTGTTCACCAAATACTTTTACTTCAATGCAAGTGAACAAGCGCGCTAGTGTGTGTGTAGTGACGTGTGTGTGTAGTGTATTTAATAGGGCTGGGTATTAAAATATTGATTTCTCGATATTAATCGATTCTCATTTTTACGAACCGATATTGATTCTTAAATCTCAAGAATCGATTAGTCATCCTGTTTCATTTGAATGAATGGATCATTGTATTGCGGCTGCGCGCATCCAAAAAAAATCGCAATAATCTTTGTCCTTTGTTACTATTGATATGAAACAAAGTCTCAATTTTCAAATTACGTCCATTTTCTTTAGAAATTCAAAAACATAAATAGCGTTTTGTCGCTGTGGCGTGAGATCGCTCTGGAGAAGCAGCAGCGCTGATCTCTCTTCCGGCTTAATAATACCAGTCACAGCGCCAAATAAACATGAATGAGCATCTGAAAGTGTGTTAAAGATAGAGTACAACTTATCCAAATCCGTATCATGTCACATTGATTCGCTCAATCAGCGTTTCAACCGTGGAAAGACGTCAGTTAAACAGCTTGTAATCAATGTCATCGTCATATTTACCTCAGAAAACCCACATAAACTCGTTAGTCAGCTAGAAAAAATAACTCTAGAGAAGAGCATTTTGCTAAATATATACACCATATTACATATGCATTATAATCTTAATGTTCTTCAATATTTAATGCATATTTGAATAAATATGGCAAGTTTTTATGACAGACACCATTTAAATGTTTATATTTCATATAATCTTCTTATTCTAAAAATAAATAAAAGTGCAAATTAAGTGTTTGTATAGCTACAAAACAGTTCATTATTACCTTCAGACTATTACCTATTACCTACGAGACTTCCTTATAGATTTCCACGACGCATGCGCGAGAATTGCGATCTGAAGTAGTGTAAGCTGGTGTACGCAGATCGCAATTCTCGCGCATGCGTCGTGGAAATCTATAAGGAAGTCTCGTTCTGGCCTACAAGGAAGAAAAAAATAGTCGAATAAACTCGTTATTTTTGTTTGTTTTTTCGCACAAAAAGTATTCGCGTCGCTTGATAAACATATAGTTGAGCCACGGTAGTCACTTGGGATATTTAAACATTTTCTTCATTGACTTTCTGGGCCGTCAAGAGGCAGTCCCTTAGGAGCCAATGTGGTAGTTATACAGCTCTCAAATTTAATCAAAAATATCTTCATTTGTGTTCCGAAGACGAACGAAGGTCTTACGGGGTTGGTACAGCATGGGGGTGAGTAATTAATGACTTAATTTTCATTTTTGGGTGAACTAACCCTTTAAGTTCAGTAATTTCACTGAAATGGCAATGATAATTACATATTAATTGTTATTTAAGTGAAATTACTGAACTTAAATATACAAGTTTGATAAAAATCATCATTAAAGA